CAGCAGCATCTCCTCCTCACCAGCACGGTTACGAATCAGAAACCCTCACTCTGAATACGATAGGACCCAGCCACCTATGCAGTATTACAATAGCCAAAAGAAAACCAAACAAAGGCTTATACTCTGGCTCCAGCAAATCTTCACCAACTTACATCAGTTCCTATTCCTCACCAGCAAGAAAACAAAACAGACAGCTCCCACACCGACTATATTGTAGTCAAAATGATTCCAACAGTAAGAACCCTGCCATACACAGATGTGTCTGCTATCTCCTCATAGCTAAAAAGATCATTATGTTGATGAATGAGTTCACTTCCCTGCTATTACTAATTATTCAACACAGTATGGACTGAAATCAACCACAAATTATATAGACTTTTATTCCACGAAACAACGTTCTTATAGAGCAGAACAGTACCCAGGGTTCCCAGACTTATGGGTTGTAGCATCAGTAGAACTACTCTATCTAATCTTGTTTTGAATGAGAAGAAAAGCCTGCCTTGCTCATTTGCTGAAATGTCCAAGTATGAAATGTAAGAGTGAATAGCATTTTTTCTTCTTTTCTGAAGAATTATCAGTGAAGTGAGGAAACCTTTGGGAGAGAAGACTTTGACTTTCTAAGCTCTACTTAGGTGTCAGATGTAACTACTTGTAGATTCTGTAGTTTGGTAAAGGTGTGGGCAATGCAATAAAGAAGTTTAAGAAATGGGTGAAATGAGATGGGGATGTGTAGGTAAAATCAAAGAAAAGGGGATTTTTCAAATGTAAAGAAAGTTATGTTCTGATAGTTTGGACAGAAAAAGAAATGAAATGGGGCGCCTGGGTGGCTCAGTTGTTTAAGCGACTGCCTTCAGCTCAGGTCATGATCCCGGAGTCCTGGGATCGAGTCCCGCATCGGGCTCCCAGCTAGGCGGGGAGCCTGCTTCTCCCTCTGACCCTCTCCGCTTTCATGCTGTTTCTCTCTCTCTCTCTCTCAAGTAAATGAATAAATAAAATCTTTGAGAAAAAAAAAAAATGAAATGAATGTCCCTCATGTTTTACTGCTATTACTAAAAAAAACTGTTAAATAGTTAAGATAATGTTGAAAAGTATACAGAGTATGTCATTTAGCAGTTCAACTCATGTAAGGATTATTTGTATTATTAATAACAGAAACCGCTTTGTCCTTTAAGTAAAAAAGAGGTATTAATACAGTGTGTGCACTATATTAACCTTTCTAAAATCTGAAGAATTCTGAAACCCCAGTATATCTGGCCTCAAGATTCTGAATAAGGCAAACAAAAAAAAATCTGAATATGGGATTGAGGACTGTACATTTTTCTAATGCTTTATTAGGAAAAAATGAATAATTTATATATATTTTTTAAAGATTGCCAATTCCAGGTTCCCCACAATTGTTTTACCAGCTTCAGAGGTAGCAGGGGTTCAGTAGGCGTCTCCACCAAAGAGCTAATCACAAGAGATGATGGATACTCCTTTTCCTCTACAACTCTCATCTTGCCTAGTGAGAGTTTTTTTTTTTTTTTTTTTTTAAAGATTTTATTTATTTGACAGAGAGAGACACAGCGAGAGAGGGAACACAAGCAGGGGGAGTGGGAGAGGGAGAACCAGGCTTCCCGCCGAGCAGAGAGCCCGACGTGGGGCTCGATCCCAGGACCCCAGGATCATGACCTGAGCCGAAGGCAGACGCTTAACGACTGAGCCACCCAGGCGCCCCTAGTAAGAGTTTATTAATCTCAGTTAATAATCCTACTAGTATATAGTAGGATTACTATCATCATGATAGCCTATTCCAGTTAACAATAAACTACTTAGCAATGGCATGGACTATGTATTTATTTACCACCTTAACTCTTCTACTTAATACTTGAATCCTTGTAATCAATCAATGAATGGCCTTTTCTGCCACCTTACAAACCTGATAATGGACTGCATTATCAGAGACTTATTTGCCTAATTCACAATTCAAGTTTCATTAAGTCCCTTGAGTTATCATTATATAGTTTAGAATAAAAGATCTATCAGTTAAGACAGTTTCATATACATGAAACATAAAATCCAAAGCCAACTGGACTAAACTGAATTTAATGGCTCATGTAAACTAAATAAAGTCTAGAAGTATACTATCTTCAGGGAAGACTGGATCTAGTGGTCAGGGCATGGTTTTTCTCTGTTCTACTCCTTCAGTGTTTGCTTCTTACTCAACTGGTTTCCTTCAGTGTTTGCTTCTTATTCAACTGGTTTCCTTTTATGGTCAGAAGGTAGCTTCCAGGAGTTTAATGAGTACATTTTGATTTCTGTTGAAATTCAGCCAAAAAATAAATAAGTGCCTTTATCCTAGCATTCCTAGCAAATAGCCTAAGATCATTCTGATTCATCTACCTGAGATCACATGCCTACTGTGACTGCCTTGGGTTAGGGCACATGTTCCATTCTAACAAACTCTTCGTAGTATTTATGAAATAAAGTACATTACAGTTGACCTCAGTGATTTCAACTTCTAATATTACTGAATGGTATTACTGAATTAAAATTGATAGGTTAAGCATATCATACAACTTTCACTACCTTCTTAAAAAGTTATTCCCCCAAACTTTAATGACAACCCATCAAGGAAAAAAAAATTAACTCAAAATGTCTTACAAAATTACCCACAGGCTTTACGATTTTCCTTTTTAACACAACAGAAACCAACACCATATATTTTCTCAAAGCAAAAGAGGTTTACATCCAACTTTTTCAAGATCACAACAGTAGAATTTAAATAGTGAAGAGTACATGATTAGCTTGAGTTAGGAAAAAAAGTGTTTTTGTTTCATAGAGCCTTAAAATAGAAGTGACTAAATAATCCATCCTGTAACTCAAGACTCCTCTTACAAGGTACTAGATTCACCATGAAACCTACCCCCACACACACAAAGACACACAACTAGGTCCTAAGAGCAGATCAAAGATGTACACCTTAGGGAGACTTTTTCTGAATGTGCATTTCAAAGTCAAATACTAATTATTTCTGAATTACGATGTTTCTTACTTTTTATGTCCCTTATTCCTATAATGAGCAGAGAAAATAGAACATAAACTATCCTGTTTTTACGCCAGAGAATAGTGAAATTTATTACACTGAAAGCCAGTAATCAAATATATAGGAAAAGATCTGATATTAACAGTAAAGTCAAAGAAAAGCAAAAGACAAAATATGAGCACCATTTTTTTAGAGTAGAACTAACCACCTGAATATGTGTTATACAATAATCATCTTAAAAGCCAAACTTCATTTATAATCCTGCAGGGAAGCAGTGTGGTTAAAGAAAAGGATTTGAACTAAAAGAAAATCTCTGTAGGGGCACCTGGGTGGTTCCGTCAGTTGGTTTTGGCTCATTTCATGAGCGGGGAAGTCTACTTAAGATTCCCTCTCTCCCTCTCTGCCCTTCCCCCTTCTCTGAAATAAATAAAACAAGAAAGAAAGAAAAGAAAAGAGAGAGAGAGAGAGAAAGAAAGAAAGAAAGACAGAAAGAAAGAAGGAAAGAGAAAGAAAAAGAAAAAGAAAAGGAAGGAAGGAGAGAGGAAGGAAGGAAGGAGAGGGAGGGACGGAAAGAAAGGAGGAGGGAGGGGGAGAGAGAGAGAAAGAAAGAAAGAAAAAGAAAAAGAAGAAAGTAAAGAAAGAAAAGAAGGAAAGAATCTCTAATTGTTCAATTCTGTAGATTGGTTTTTCAAATACTCAACTGTTCAAACAATTCAATTCAGTAAATATGCACTGATGGCTTTATTAAGAAGACAGTACTGGTATTAGAGGAGAGATATAAACAGAGCCCTTAACTTCACAAAGTTTTGGGGCGCCTGGGTGGCTCAGTTGTTAAGCATCTGCCTTCGGCTCAGGTCATGATCTCAGGGTCCTGGGATCGAGCCCCGCATCGGGCTCCCTGCTCAGCTGGAAGCCTGGTTCTCCCTCTCCCACTCCCCCTGCTTGTGTTCCCTCTCCTGCTGTCTCTCTGTCAAATAAATAAATAAAATCTAAAAAAAAAAAAAAAAAACTTCACAAAGTTTACAATATGCCTCAAAAGCAACATATACAAAGCAGCATTACTGGACAGCACAGAACATAATCAAGGAGAAATAAATGAATGAGACACTAAAGACAATGGGTAATCAGGAAGAGGAGAAATCAAATGAGAGGATTTCTACAGCCAGTAATAGAAAACCTAAGGGCAAAACTGCTTAACATTAAGGAAATTTGTTATCTCACATCACAAGAAATCCACAGTTAGGGTGATTCTACATACATTACATGGAGCCCCAGTTCTACTTCTCTGCCGTTCTCTTGAGTCTGCCTTACTTTACATAAGGGCATCACTTTCAGGCTAGTAGCAAAATGGCTACAGCAGTTCCAGATGTCCCATCCAGATAAAACCACCTCTAGGGAGTAGAGGGATCAACTTTTTCCTTCTTTCTCAAAACCAAGAAAACCTTTCCCAGAATCCTCTTACAGACTTCCCTTCTATTACTCAGTCGCCAAAACTGGATCTATTCCTAAAATGATTCCCAAGGCAAGGGCACCTACCATTAACCAAGATTAGAGTAGATGCTGTTAATTATCATGACCATCATTTTAATGTTAGGCTGAATATTTCAAGAAGACAGGCCTTGGAAGATGGTATAATTAGGCAAAGAAATAAAAGAGAAAAATACAATGACAAAGGATGTGCCTAACTGAATAAAAAAAGTCAAACTGCAACCATACACTAAATACACTGTTAGGGACAAGGAACTTTCCTAAACTGCACTGCTGTCATTCTCTGTAATACAAAAATTAATTTACTATTCAACAGAGAGTAAATGCTAAGAATGGAGGAGGAGGAGTTCTCTTTTTATGAAAAGGATTTAGTTAATTATCAGTGGGGACAGTCAGACTCACCACTCCTTGTCAATGGAGTCACCCATTTAGCTATCTCTGGGTTGAGAACATTCCATATTATGCATACAGATGACTACAGACTCACTGTCAATAGAAGTTGTTCCTTGAAGGTTTCTTCTCATTTGGGTTCCAGGTTTCAGTCAAACGTCCACAAACTCGCAACTGGCCCTATGTGCAAATGAAAGCATGCAATTAGGAAGCAAAAGGCTACAGGGAACAATTCCCTCCTCCCCCATCTATATTAACTGATCCATAAGAAAACTGAACTTAAATACCAGATTCAATAAACCCCATGTTCAAACTAAGCAACTTGCATTTCAAAGGCTAAGTGCTTATTACACGGTTACCACCCTTTCACATCATATAAATGTATTGTTGTGTCCACAGAATACCAGATACAACTCTTAGCAGAAGTTGCCCACTGGGTAGAATCCAACACACATTTATGTGTGGTGGACACAAATAAGGTTGACCTACACTCATGTTAAAGGACAGCTGCCTACATTTATAAATCAGAAGAAGACTCAACATGGAAATCAAGATTTCTGACCTCTCTTGGGGGAAAAAAAAAAATTAGAAGATCTAGCGGTAATGGGCCCACATTCCCACATGGTAACAATCTGCTGGAGCTGATTAGCAGCTAATCCTTTGGGTGGGTCACAGGCTTTGCAGTTGCCTGCAGATGTCATCACTCTCTCATAACACAACTCAGTTATCTGTCTGGATCCTGCTGGCATCTGACTTTGCAAACTCTGCTATATTTTTATAATAGCTCACAGGGAACATTAATTACTATCAAAGCCAAGCATGTTTTTCTGCCTTGACAATACAATATAGTATAGGGCTAATGACTACATTGATTTTGGAGTCAGCAGGCCCTAGGTTTGAGTTCTAATTCTGCGATTACTAGCTGTGTGACCTCAGACCTATTTTTGACCTAAGAAATATTTTTTTTTCCTAAGATATATTTCTTCATTTATAAGCCTCCAAATAAACATATAAGCACTTAACACAGTCAACAAACAGGCCTAAATCATGTCCAAGCTGAAATGAAAATCCCAAATTCATTGCTTTCTCAGTTTTCTCCATCTCCGAAAGCTGCAATGTGATTCATGTGCATAAGCCTCAAACCTCAAAGTCCTTATCATATACTTTCCTTCATTCTCCCAAAACCAATACCAAGGTAATTGATTCTCTAAAATATGTAATTTGAATGAAATCTCAGAATCCCATAAAAACAAATAACAATGCCTCCATCAGAATTACTTTCCTGAAATTACCTACAAATTCAACCATTTAAGTAATAGTAGTTTGAAGTTTCAAGGTTCCATATTATGAAGAATATTAATATTTCATTAAAAAAATGAAAACGGGGGCACCTGGGTGGCTCTGATCATTAAGCATCTGCCTTAGGCTCAGGTCATGATCCCAGAGTCCTGGGATCGAGCCCCACATCGGGCTCCTGGCTCAGCGAGGAGCCTGCTTCTCCCTCTCCCTCTGCCTCTCTCCCTGCTCATGCTTTCTCTCTCTCTCTCTCTCTCTCTGTGTCTCAAATGAATAAATAAAATCTTAAAAAAAAAAAAAAATGAAGACGGGGTGCCTGAATGGCTCAGTAGGTAGAACATGCAACTCTTGATCTCGGGGTTGTAGGTTCGAGCCCCACACTGGGTGTAGAGATTACTTTTAAAAAAATGGGGTGCCTGGGTGGCTCAGTTAATTAAGTGTCTGACTTGATTTTGGCTCAGGTCATGATCTCAGGGCCGTGAGATCAAGCCCCACGTGGGGCTTTGTGCTCAGCGGGGAGTCTGCTTGAGGTTCTTTCCTTCTGCCCTTCCACCAGCTCGCTCTCTCTCAAATAAATAATCTTGTTTTTTAAAAAATGAAGACAAAATACTGGGGATAATACCAATCACTCCTTGAAAGATACTGACACATTACATTTTGTAAGCTTACATGTTTCTTCCAATCTAAACTAACAATGAACTAGGATGCTATGCTTCATCTGAAAACAAAATTAAGAAAAGAGATGGCTAGAATTAAAAAATCAACTGTTTCTATAGAACTGTTCAAAGAACAATCAAAAAATCCACTTTTGGAAATATTACCACTGGAAAATATGAATTACAAATTATCAAATGACGTGTAACAATGACAAATACATGGAGAGATACACTATGTTCAAAATTCAATGATCTTAACATGTCAATTCTCTCCAATTTGAGCAAAAGATTCCACGCATTTCTAATCAAAATCCCAGCAGCTTTTGTAGAAATTGAGAAGCTGATTCTAAAATTCACATGGAAATGCAAATGAGCTAGAATGGCCAAAACAACTTCAAAGATAATTAATATTGGAAGCCTTATACTACCTGACTTCAAGATTTGTTATAAAACTGCAAATATCAAGACAGTGTGGTACTGAAAAGAGACAGATCAAGAAAACAAAATTGACAGTCCAGAAATAAACCTTGCTACAAAGGCACTACTTCAGTGGGGAAAGGGAGAACCTTTTCAACAAATGGAGCTGGAATGACTGGATGTCCACACCTTGTGCCACATATAAAAATTAACTCAAAATCAATCACAGACCTAAAGGTAAAACCTAAAACTATAAAATTCCACAAAGAAAACATAGTAGAAATTTTTTGTGGTCTTAGACAAAAATTTCTTAGATAAAACACAAAAGCATGACAGGTAAAAGACAAAAGTGACAAACAGGACTTCATCAAAATTACTAATTTCTGCTATCTGCAAGACACTTAACAAAACGAAAGACAACACACATGCTAAAAAAAAAAAAGAGAGGCAAATCTCATGATCTGAAAATGGACTTATATTCAGAAAGAATACAAGAAAGATGCTCAAAACTCATTAAGAAAGCCCCATTTTATTTTTAAAGATTTTATTTATTTATGTGAGAGACAGAATGAGAGAGGAGAGCATGAGAGGGGGGAGGGTTAGAGGGAGAAGCAGTCTCCCTGCTGAGCAGGGAGCCCAATGTGGGACTCGATCCCAGGACTCCATCCCAGGACTCCAGGATCATGACCTGAGCCGAAGGCAGTTGCCCAACCAACTGAGCCACCCAGGCGCCCAAGAAAACCCAATTTTAAAAAGGAACAAATGGGGGCGCCGGGGTGGCTCAGTCATTAAGTGCCTGCCTTCGGCTCAGACCGTGATCCCAGAGTCCCAGGACTGAGCCCCACATCGGGCTCCCTGCTCAGCGGGAAGCCTGCTTCTCCCTCTCCCACTCCCCCGTTTGTGTTCCCTCTCTCACTGTGTCTCTGTCAGATAAATAAAATCTTTTAAAAAATAAAAAAATAAAAAGGAACAAATGATTTTAACATACTCACGAATGATGTACACACAGCAGATAAGGACATGAAAATATACCTTAACATTATCATTCATTAGGAAAATACAAACATTGGCAAGGATATGGAGCAAGTGGAATGATCATATGCTATTGATGAGAATGTAAAATGGTAGAACCACTTTAGAATACAGTTTGGCAGTTTCTTAAAAAATTAAACACACACTTAACATACAAGCCAGCTATTCCTAGGTCTTGCCTAACAGAAATGAAAGTCTATGTTCACAAAAGACTGTTCTTAGCACCTTTATTTTTAATACCCAAAAGTGGAAACAACCCAATTATCCATCAAGAGGTGGATCGATAAACTAAGTGTGGTAAAGCCATTCAATATTTTACTACTTTTAAGAAAAATAATGAACTATTATACACTATTTAACATGGATGTATCTCAAAATAATTATGCTAAGAAGCCACACCAAGAGTATATTCTGTAGAATTCATACACGCAAAACTCTAGAATCTCTAGGGATAGAAAGCAATTCAGTTGATTGCCTGGGAACAGAGGATGGTGGACAAAAAGACCCACAAATGGCTGAAAAAAAACCTTTTGGAGGTGCCAGATATTTTCATTATCTTGATTGTAGAGATAATTTCACAGGTATAAAAACTTCAAAATTTATTAAACTGAACACTTAAATATGTGCAGTTAATTTTAAATCAAATTCATTGCATATTAATAACTGAAAGCAAAACTGATTAATATGAAAAGCAAGACCCTTTCAATGCAGTAACTATGAAAATCACAGCCACTATCTTTTTTTCTGAAAAATAATTCCATTGAAAAGTATATTATCTCAATGTTAAAGATCAAAACCATAATTACCGATCACAAAGAAAGCATATGCCAAAAATTGCACTCTAGCTAACCCCATATAATTCAGCATGGGCAAAAAGAAAATTTAGTGGATTTCATTATTACTCATTCAACTGCAGTCCACAACGTACCCCAGGCTTTCATTACATTTGGTAGGAATTAGATAAAAAAAGTTTTTTTCACTGTCAACCAAAAACATTTTAATATAGTAATTTTATTAGCATTCATCCCAGTATCACTACTATACCGTATTTCACATTCTGCTTAGAATTAATGAAGAAATCATCAAATCAGATCCATTTTAATTGTTAACTGCTGACATGGCTTGGTGCTTTTTACATATTAAATGGCACCTCTATCCCCATCTGCCTATTATTTATACTGATAACAGAAAATTACATTATTTCTTCAGCTGAATTTAATCATTAAATTTTATTTTAGATAATATCAGAAGTGTGTAAGCCCATCTCTATCCAGAGATATGTATTCTCCAAGTTAACAGTCTCAGTTCCATCACACTGCTATGAAAAAAGGGCTTCATCTTTAGAGAAATGAGTTAGTAGTGCTACCTTAGAATACTTTTAGGGCAGTCACAGAGAAAAATCATGCTAGTTCTGCATCAGCACAAATGGCACAACTAGAATGAATGAGCAGAGGCTCTATTTTCCACATATTAGAACATCTTTCTGAGTCACTGTTGCCTCAAAGGGAACGTCCTGCCTTCGGATACCTATCATCAGCAGTCGGAGTATTACAGCAGCGATCTGAAAATACCAGATAGCTGATCTAGACCAGCTTTATGATTCCTTGCAACCCTCAGATGCTCTTATGAATTTAAAAATAAAAATCTATTTTTAAGTGCCCAAATCCACTGCAATTCAAAAGTCTTAGGTTTAAGCCGGTCAAACTACAAGAAGCTAAAGCCTTAAGTCTTACAGTAACATTTCTGTTTAGTTTCCACTTTTCCTCAATGAATAATGGC